ATAACTCATCCTACATAATGGGCATCATATTTCTATATGGAAGCTAGAGCTCTTTAACATTTTTTTTTTTAGATTTTATTTATTTATTTGAGAGAGAAAGAGACCACAGAGGAAGAGAGAGAGGGAGAAGAGGGCTCTGCAGTGCAGGGCTGATCCCAGGGCCCTGGGATCATGACTTAAGCCAAAGGCAGACACTTAACTGACTGAGCCACACAGGCGCCCCCAAGAGCTCTTTAACTATTAAGCTCATATTCTTACTATTATAGGGCAATGACTTGTATAAAAATGAGATAAACAATAAAAGGCACATAAAGAAAATTGCATTATAAGATCTAAATAATTTCAATAACTGATATTTGTTTAGTTTTGCTTTATTTACTTAACGCTAGGACAAGTGAAGTAATAATTTATTTCCTGGGCGCCTGGGTGGCTCAGTCGTTAAGCGTCTGCCTTCGGCTCAGGTCATGATCCCAGGGTCCTGGGATCGAGTCCCACATTGGGCTCCCTGCTCAGCGGGAAGCCTGCTTCTCCCTCTCCCACGCTCCCTGCTTGTGTTCCCTCTCTCGCTGTCTCTCTCTCTGTTAAAAAATAAATAAAAAATCTTTAAAAAAATAACTTATTTTCTTTACAGCTTTATTTACCAATGTGTCCTTTATGTTTAACCTAAAAATAAACTTTTTATACAACATTAATGATTATAAGAAAATATTCACAAATTGTCCTCCAAAATCACAAAAGTTTTACAATGTACTTATGAAAGTACATGGAGACCTCTTGACACATAGTTTTCAAAACATTTCTCAAAATACTGTGAGTAGAAATTGTTACTTTGATCTCTTTTATGTTAATCTAATCCATAAGAAAGCTGATCTTTCTAGGTAAGATAAAATTTTTTGCAAGTTACATGGAATTTTATGTCATTGATTATTTTTGAAACTATGTTTGTCATTTCTTCTCTTTTATAAGAACATTTAAGCAAATGGTATTAGGAAAATGATGATAAAAATACTATTTTTGCTAAATATTTACTTATAAATTATCAGTCATATCAAATTATTTCATGCTTTAGATCCCTGATAATTATGTCAAAAATTGTATATATACAAGTTACTTTTGTAAAATGAAATGTTTTTTAAAATCTATGGACTAAAATATAATGCTTTAACTTGCTGGGTATTTTCATTATTATACTAAGATTATTTTTCAGTAGAGTTTTATTTATTTATTTATTTATTTTTGTTATTTAGATTATGCAATTAAAAGTGTACAATTGTCAACTATCAAAAACAACTATAAATTGAGGAACTGTTCAATAAAACAACGGGTGAGGAATTTGAAATTAGAGGGACAAAGACAACATTCCACAAATACATTTTGAAAATTTCTTAATATAATGCTGATGTCTGTGATTTACTTCAAAATGTGTCAAGATAGGCTGGATTGATGGACAGATAAATGGATGGGTACATAGATATGTGATAAAGAAGTATAGTGAAATGTGAATCATAGAATTTAGGTAGTGTGTAGAGGGCCTTTACTGTAAATTATTTAAAGTATGCTGTATACTTGAAATTTTTCATAATAAAATGTTGACAAATGTGCTTACCATCCTTAACTGTAAAATAATGATGTAGTGTAATTTAAGAAATTATCATTTCTTGCTCCCAGGCAAACATCAGGCTAGGCCTTAGGAATATGATATTGTAAGACACATTTTTTGTGTTTAAAAGTTCTTAATCCAGGGCGCCTGGGTGGCTCAGTTGGTTAAGCGACTGCCTTCGGCTCAGGTCATGATCCTGGAGTCCTGGGATTGAGTCCCGCATCGGGCTCCCTGCTCAGTAGGGAGTCTGCTTCTCCCTCTGGCCCTCTTCCCTCTCGTGCTATCTCTCATTCTCTCTCTCTCAAATAAATAAATAAAATCTTTAAAAAAAAAAAAAGTTCTTAATCCAGTGGAGGAAACACGCTAGTGAACAATTTCCATGCAGGATGGTTACCAATATTATGGTATACATAAATTTAGAAGAGTTCTACAATATACAGATATGTATCTGTCCCTGTTTTGGAGACAGAGACTCAGGGCAAACTTTCCACACTGAAATTTTAAAAATTAATAAAATTAATAAGACACAGAAAATATCCCAAGCATTTAATAAATGACACAAATGGGTTATGGTTATAAACTTGAATTTTTTAAATGTGGGAAGGACACCAAGCTTATATATGTTAATCATCTTTACTAACTTCTCTCCTAATAATAAAAGCTGTTGCTTTTGGATATTTTCTTAGTCATTATGCTAGATTCCTGAATAATAAAATCATTCATCAGTGATTTTTGTAGTGTCTTCTATGTTCCAGGCCCTGGGGATATTTATTTCTATACGCTCCTTGAAGAGTAGCAATTGTAATTTGGTGATAGATTGCTCTAGGTAGTACAGATAGAAAATGGTAAAGAAGAGAATTTTAACTCAAGGCTATGTGATTTTAATTTTCCTTTCACTGTATCATGTTGCCTATTCCCTTATTTAAAAAAGTATTCTAACAGAGGAAATCTTGAATCCTCAAATGACATCAATTTCAGTCATAAGCCATCCTTATGATACGTAAGTCCAATACGTCCAATAATGTGATACATGCTGGCATTCTCCTTGATGTTCTCCTGTTATGGTACTTTTTATTACTGCTCACAAGTTGCAGTTAAAAATACCAATTGTGCTAGTTTTAATTTTTACACAATTTTTATGTCAGCAGAGGTGATACACCCCAGTATGGTCAAACAATCCTATAGAGCTGACTAGTTTCATCTGTGTTAAAAAGTCTCCATTTTTGGGGCGCCTGGGTGGCTCAGTCATTAAGCGTCTGCCTTCGGCTCAGGTCATGATCCCAGGGTCCTGGGATCAAGCCCCACATTGGGCTCCCTGCTCTGTGGGAAGCCTGCTTCTCCCTCTCCCACTCCCCCTGCTTGTGTTCCCTCTCTCGCAGTGTCTCTTTCTGTCAAATAAATAAATAAAATCTTTTAAAAAAATAGTCTCCATTTTTAATTTGGTATTTTCAATGTTACCCTTAGAGGTATCATTATCCTTCATCCTATAGAAGGAGATGTTGACTTTAAAGAAGTTCTGTAACTCACCAATGGCCATATTCTGTTATTTTTATCTGTTCTTTCTCCTATCCAAAAATTACAGTCTATAAGTTTAAGAAAGACATTAAATGAATTTTCTGAAACTAGTTCTTAATGAATGAATTTATGAAATATTGATTAAAACACTATAACAAGAATGAGTAATATTTAGAAGCTGAGGGGTAACTAATAACCAGCAAAGCTAAGTAAGTATAATTAGCTGTATATACAGCATATGCTACATAGAATTAAAGTCTAAATATTATAGTTAGTCATTGCATTGCGTTTCTCTTTTTGCTTTATGTTGTCAACTAAGGGTTTTTTAGTACATTAAAATGAATTAGAAAAGAAGTGTTGTATCAAACGCTATACTGCCATCAACAGTTAGTGGTTGAGTTTCCACATTAGCCAAAATATGGAACTGAAAATATTAACATCATTCACCATTATTAGAATATGGTGATGCACTTTTTGATGGTGATTCTAAGAATTGATTTAAAGAGCAGTGTGAGTGGCTGGCACAAAGGAAACGATTGACCAATCATAGCCAGATGGGAAAAGAGTAGCTGTAGCAAGAGATAGAAAAAAGCCAGCTCCATTGATACATCTATATTTAGGGAAGAGGCAATGATGGAAATGTAGAATGAAAATTATGAAGCGAGTTAAATAAAGGGAGTGGATGAAGTTATGATGGTGCTTGTCTAAACTGACAAGAGACAAATATAAGGTAAGGACATGTGTAACACCAATGCTTTAGAGAAATGCAGCAGGAAAAGAGCCAGCAGAAAAAGACTATATCCACAGTTCCCTCTTTAAACAACCTACAGACTAGGCAGAGTAATTAAGCAACTCCAAAGATAAACATAAGACAGAAATGGGATATCCACAGAGGTATTCAAACAAAAAGCCACGGAGAAAAGTTAAGGGACAAGCATGAGCAGGTATATAAAGTAAGAAAGAAGTCATCTTGTTAAAGAATGAGAGGATCTGATGTGGATATAAAGCAGGAGATGTGTACTAGCATGTCAGAGAGGGTCACTCCTTGGAATGTTTTGACTCTCAGACTGACCTCCCCACCTGATTTCATAGGTACAGGAATGTAACAAAATTATGCTAATTTTAATCCATAGTTGAAAAATTGTATATGGGTTTGCATTTCCATATGATTAATTTTTCACTTTGGTGTTTGTTATTTATCCTTTCCTCCACACTGGAATAATATATTTATAATTTCTTCCCCAAACATTATTATTGTGAATTTCATTGTAGAGTAATTGAAATAATTTAAATTTTGAATATGTAAAATATATGTATTAATAAAAATAAAGGTAGTGAATCTTTCTGATGAGTTTAAAACAACACAGTTAATATATTTCAGAATACTGAAAATTTGCATAAGCAAAGCAAAAAATCATTCATTTATTCATTTTATTAATACATAATAACATGAGGAAAACATGAATTGACTTAAAGAATATTTTTCTTCAGGAATTTGTATTCCTATTCAAAGAGGGAATAGATAATGGTAAAATACAGTCGGAATTTTTACTTTATTTTAAATTATTATTTAAAATGTGAAACCATGACTGTTTTGGTTCCCAGAATGTTACCTTAGTGTGACACAAATGAAGTTCATAAGAAATCAAAACTAAGAAATGCAATTAGCTCTGTCTAACTTATTTTGAGTCATGCCTTTCAGAAATTTTGCCACTAAAATCTCAAAATGATTTTGTTCCTTTGGCCATGAGGGCTATACCAAAGTAAACAGATAATGTGTGTTTTTGCTCTTTTGGTTCTCCAAAATATTCTCCCCTTTGCATCTTAATGGCATTAATGTAGTTAGTTTATATGATGATGGTTTATGTGATGAATTTGGATTTACCTTAGCTTCAATCTGCTTAGTATCTGGATTCTGAAACAAAAATTTGATTTTGCTCTTGCCATCATCTGAAGAACCCTTAAGCTGAGAAAACTTATACCTCCAAAGTATAGCCTAAAGGGGGAAAAAAAGAAACATATTCAATTAATATCTACATTCAAACCAAGAAATAGTCCTCTTTTAAGTGGCAAAATCTAATCATATTAAATTAGTACTATATCCCAGAATTAAAAAGTAAATTAAAATATATTTATCAAAGGCTATAACTTAATATTCGATATATCTTTTAGTTTCCAGAAATAACTTCAGTACCCATGAAATAATTATTTCAAAAAATATATGCAAAGAAATCAATTTGAGTATCTTGCTTTATATTACTATGAAATGAAAATAAGCTCACTTAAAGCATATGTCTATGTTACTGAATAAGCAAAAACACTTGTTTCTTTTTTCTATTAATAGAAGTGGTAAGGTGATTTTGAATTGATAATTCTATAGATATTCTGTAGTACTTTCTCTTAAAGCTCAAACTAATAATCTGTAGCTTTGTCAAGATAAAAGATCAGCCTTAGTAAATAATTATGACAAAATAATTTATATGGTATCTTCACGAGACTGAACTAGAGTAAGTATTTTACAGAACTAGCCCATCAATCTATAATACCTCAGTCAATAGGATTATTTGACTAAAAGCCATCTTTCAATATTGCAGGGGTAAGTTTAGATAGTATAAAATCTATGAAAGAACCAAACGTTAGTTACAACATGACCATGCACTTACTGTTTGAATATATAGTGAGAACAATTAAGAACTTGGTACAGAGAATTCTTATCACACAGCTTACTCTATTTTAATATCTCACATAATATGGTACATTGTTACAATTAATGAACCAATATTGGCACATTATTATTAACTAGAGTCCATTGTTTATGTAGTTTTTCTTGTTTTAACCTAATGTCTTTTTCTGGTACAGGACTCTACCCAGGATACCATATTACATTTATTCGTTGTGTCTTCAGCTCTACTTGTCTGTTACAGTTTCTCAGATCCTTGTCAGACTGTCCTTGACAATTTGAAGAATACAGGTTAAGTATTGTGCAGAATGCCCCCTACTGGAATTTGTCTGATGTATTTCTCATAACTGGATGGGCTAAAGATTTTTAGAAATGAGATAAGACCCTATCATTTTTTACAATAACCCCAGTGTATATTTCTGAGAGGTTTCCTTTTAAGATATGTTATTATTGTGGAGTGTGATGTGTGTGTTTATCAAACTTCATCAGGTGGTCTTAACATGATTCAATAATTCATTTAAATATAAAGCTATGTGAAAAAAAGCATGGTTTTACATATGAATTACATTTTTTATTATTCTTTTATTTACTAAAGTATTTAATAATATTTTGCATGTTTTCAACCTTTTAAAATTTATTACTACTTGCTTTGTATTCTTATATATGGTCTATTTATGGAGAATGTTCCATGTGCACTTGAAAAAAAATGCATATTCTGTTCTGGTTGGGTGGAGTATTCTATGTATGTCTGTTAGATATAGTTAGTTATAGTTTTGTTCAGGTTCTGTATTTCTTTATTGGTCTTCTGTCTGATTATTCATTCCATTATTGAAAGTGGAGTATCAAAACTTCCAACTATTATTATAGAATTGTCTATTTCTCCTTGCATTTGGATCCAGAGTTTAGCAAAGCCACTGCTTTGCTGCCTCAGCATCCATTTAGTTTGGCCAAGTGGCCTGTAGGACCTTAAACCGACATAAGCCCCTTGTGCAAGTGGATGCCCTAGATAGCAGTCACAGAGTCACAAACATATATATAAGTTCCCGAAAGGACTCCCCAACAGCCCTTCTGATCAATAGAATCTCTTGTGTCTGTATGCCTTGGCACCACTTAGATAAGAATCCCATGCAGCTTACCAAAACCTTGCTCTTTGAGTATGGATTTTCCAGCCCAGCTTAGCTCAGGAACCCCCCAAGCACTCCACCCATGGACCCTTAAAAAGGCATGCACCCCAGGTCCTGTCTCACTGTCTGTACTGTGCTTTGACAACCCCATGTGGCTCCTCAAGGCATTTCATGTCCTTCCTCCAGGACCTGTGAGTAATAAACTCCTGTATTTCAGTTTCTCTTGTGGTCTGTTGTGGAACTGTGGCTCATCATCCGCCACCCTGCGCTTTACCTAACAAATGTTAATTTAAACAAAGTCCTAACACTCCAATTATCTCAATGTTTAATATATTTTGGGGCCCTGATGCTTATAAGTTTATAATTGTTAAATATTCTTTTTGAATTAATCCTTTTAACAATATATAATACTCTTCTTTGTCTCCTGTAACAGTAATATAAAATCTATTCTTTTTTTTAAAGACATCTATTTGAGAGAGAGAGAGAGACAGATCCAGTAGGGGGAGGGGCAGAAGGAGAGAAGCAGACTCCCCAGTGAGCGTGTAGCCTGATGTGGGGCTCCATCTCACAACCCTATGATTATGACCCTGAGATCATGACCTGAGCCAAAATCAAGAGTCAGACACTTAACTGACTGAGCCATCCAGTTGCCCGGACATAAAATCTATTCGTATATTGGTTTAGCCACTGGTTCTCTTCTGGTTACTATTTGTACAATATCTTCTCACATCGTTTTTATTTTAACCCACTTGGGTCTTTAGATCTAAAGTTAGCCTCTTGCAGACAGCATATAGTTGTATCATGTTTTTTTAATCAGCAGTGAAGAGAAAATGGCAGTTATTGCTTAATGATAACAGAGTTTCTGTCTGGGATGATGACAGGTTTCGGAAACAGTGTGAATCAATTAATGCCACAAAATCATACACTTAAAAATGGCTAAAATGGGAAATTTTATATTATTTCAACACATTAGAAACAAAACTTTAAAAAAATCATTCTAGAAGCAATGTATCTCCAAAATCCACTCAAAGCAAATGCTAATTAAAAAGTTCACACTTGGGTGCCTGGGTGGCTCAGTTGGTTAAGAGACTGCCTTCGGCTCAGGTCATGATCCTGGAGTCCCAGGATCGAGTCCCACATCGGGCTCCCTGCTGAGCAGGGATTCTGCTTCTCCCTCTGACTCTCCCCCCTCTCATGTACTCTCTCTATCTCATTCTCTCTCTCAAATAAATAAATAAATAAAATATTTAAAAAAAAAGTTCACACTTTAAAAGGTATAATGAAATAATGAAATGGCAAAATCATAAATTCCTTAAAAATAAGAAAGAGAAAATTATCAGTAATAATGACAAATAATGCATTTATACAGAATGTTCCTGCCTCTTTATCTACTTATTCACCAAACATTTTTGAAATGGCTACTATATCTTAAGCATTTTCCTAGATTTAGATAAAAAAGATATTGTCACCATCCCGAAGACATTAATTTCTGAACAAGTAAATGCTTTTGTTTTCATTCTTACTACGAGACTATACAATTTTTAACAATATATAATACTCTTCTTTGTCTCCTGTAACAGTAATATAAAATCTATTCTTTTTTTAAAGACATTTATTTGAGAGAGAGAGAGAGACAGATCCAGTAGGGGGAGGGGCAGAAGGAGAGAAGCAGACTCCCAGTGAGCGTGTAGCCTGATGTGGGGCTCCATCTCACAACCCTATGATTATGACCCTGAGATCATGACCTGAGCCAAAATCAAGAGTCAGACACTTAACTGACTGAGCCATCCAGTTGCCCGGACATAAAATCTATTCGTATATTGGTTTAGCCACTGGTTCTCTTCTGGTTACTATTTGTACAATATCTTCTCACATCGTTTTTATTTTAACCCACTTGGGTCTTTCGATCTAAAGTTAGCCTCTTGCAGACAGCATATAGTTGTATCATGTTTTTTTAATCAGCAGTGAAGAGAAAATGGCAGTTATTGCTTAATGATAACAGAGTTTCTGTCTGGGATGATGACAGGTTTCGGAAACAGTGTGAATCAATTAATGCCACAAAATCATACACTTAAAAATGGCTAAAATGGGAAATTTTATATTATTTCACACATTAGAAACAAAACTTTAAAAAAATCATTCTAGAAGCAATGTATCTCCAAAATCCACTCAAAGCAAATGCTAATTAAAAAGTTCACACTTGGGTGCCTGGGTGGCTCAGTTGGTTAAGAGACTGCCTTCGGCTCAGGTCATGATCCTGGAGTCCCAGGATCGAGTCCCACATCGGGCTCCCTGCTGAGCAGGGATTCTGCTTCTCCCTCTGACTCTCCCCCCTCTCATGTACTCTCTCTATCTCATTCTCTCTCTCAAATAAATAAATAAATAAAATATTTTAAAAAAAAGTTCACACTTTAAAAGGTATAATGAAATAATGAAATGGCAAAATCATAAATTCCTTAAAAATAAGAAAGAGAAAATTATCAGTAATAATGACAAATAATGCATTTATACAGAATGTTCCTGCCTCTTTATCTACTTATTCACCAAACATTTTTGAAATGGCTACTATATCTTAAGCATTTTCCTAGATTTAGATAAAAAAGATATTGTCACCATCCCGAAGACATTAATTTCTGAACAAGTAAATGCTTTTGTTTTCATTCTTACTACGAGACTATACAATTTATAAAGAAGCAATATCCAATATTATAAATTGTCTAAAATGTTTCTTTAAATCTATTATTATATAGAATCTTCTAACAATAAAATTACCTGGGACAATTAACTTTCTGGAAAAAAGAATACAAGTTAAACTTTTAACTCACAACTTCCTCTAAATAAAATTCCTTATGTTTTAAAAAGTGAAATAATTTAAATAAGCCAAATTATAGGAAAACTACATAATGTAAATGAATGTTGAATAGCTTTGAAAAGAGGGAATTCTAGACTTAAGAGTAACAAAAAATTATATACTCATATGTACAAGTAATGTATATTTACCAAAATGAAAAGCAATAAACTTAGTGGCATATAGGATATATGGTATAGTGTAAGGAAAATTCTAAACACAAAATAAATAAAAAGGCAAATAATATTATAGAGAAGTCACTGAAAAAAGTAGAAAAACAATTATTATTTTTAATAAATATAAGAGCATGTTCAATTTCACTAGAAATAAAGAGTATAATAATA